CTCTCTCTCTCTCTCACTCTCTGAATTGATTAATGATGGTTGTGCCTTAAAGGCAGCCATTGGCATTTCTGAAGGTTACTGTGTTACAGTGCTGCAGTCTCCAGATTCATTTAATTTTACAGCTCCAGTGACTGAATGAGCCTCTATGCGCTATTAATATTAATACTACGGCAATATTATGCAGTACTCAGCAAGGTAATTTGGGCTGTTGTAATTTGAATGCATTGGCTGTAATGCACAGTGTAGTGGTGTTGGCCTGCAGGAGTACCTGTTTATAAGGCAAGGTGCAGCTGTAAACAGTGAAACTGAAACTGCGGTGTTTTTGTAGCTACTGTGACCTGAAAACCTTCATTTGGTTATACTCTATGTCATGAAATGTTTTGTTTTATTTAATACATATATTAAGAGATGGGTGTTGACAAGATTTTATTGATAAAAATACCATTATCCGACTTGCTTATTTGTTCAATTGTCGATTTCCTTATTGATTCTTGATCATTTCCTGTGTGGAAAAATGTAAGCCTCACAGGTTTTCAGCGTCAACGCAAATTTGTATTAGTTATTAGGAAATTATTTTTTCTTCCTCTTTTCTTCTTTTCATGAAATGTGACACAAAATACGGTGATGGCGAAAATGTACGTATTAAATTGTTCCCATTAATGGGCGTGGCAAAATGGCTTGACCACAAAACTCAGCTCCCAGGGCACCTTTTACTGATATGTATGAAAATTGGTATGTGCATGTATGATGTAAGGAGGAGGCCACGGGGCAGACGGAGGACCAGGTGGAGAGATTATATCTCAACACTGGCCTGGGAACACCTCGAGATCCCTCAGTCAGAGTTGGCCGATGTGGCCAGGGAAAGGGAAGTTTGGGGTCTTCCGCTGACTGATCAGGTTGGGGATTGTGGCACATTTGCCTGTTCTGAACTTAAACCAAGCAAACAATATGCAGTGCCTACTGCATCTGGATCATCTTCAGAATACACAGTGAGACATTTGTCATCAATGTAAGTAGATAAGTTCAAGAGAAAATGAAACGGCAGCCTCAAAAGTGACCACAGACTTGAGTCAACTCCTCTTCAGTACAGTCTCAACCAAAATGGAACATATTCAGTTTCACAAAGGTAGGATTTATTGCAGGGCGTTTCTGTTGGATTGCATTACTTTGTACTGCGGTTTCTATTTTCACGGTCACTGAGTCTATGATCGTATCAATTATTTGTCCCACCCATAATATAGAGTAGATAAAGTTTACACTGCATGCTATCAAAGAAGCAAAATAAAAAAATAATGCCCAAGAAAAAAGCTAGACCTAGATGATCCATTTCATAAGCAGTCACAGTAACAGTGATACTGTTGATGTTGCATAGTAGGCATACAGTAGTGGCGTTCAACAGTAACGGTTTTGTCATTTGCAAGTGGGTCAGAAATCTACTTGACCATAGATTGATTATAAATAAGCTATATATACTAGCCTTATGCACTTTTAAATCATGTATTAATAGATTTCTTTACATTTAACACAATTAACACAATAACGATATAATGGTATAAAAACGTACTGTAGGCTTAGAAATCATATTTATTTTTGCATTTTACACTTTAACTTCACAGGGGTTATGTGGGTTCTCATCAGCCGATTATACTGTATTAGTCTCAGTTGAGTGTTGTTGTTGTGTGCCTTTGAACCGATTTTACCCCATTCTTCTGCCAAGATGTCCTCTTGTAAGTTGACGATGCATTTTACTTGCAGTCCTTATTGTTGAGCCCTGAGTACTCAGGGGTTAAATTGGGATTTGTTATGTAAGGGGTGGCTCTGTGGTTTCAGGGTTGCCATGGGTGCATGTGTGTGCGCACAGACTTCAAAATCTGATCCAAAATGTGTGTGTGTCTGTTGGTTGTAAAAAATATTTGTGCAGCATTCAGAACCAAAACAATGTGAACAATAGAGAAATAATCTTATTTAATAATGAAGGCTTCCCGCTTTGCTTTAATTCACTGTATCTTATTCATGCACAGTGGCAATGATTTCTTCTGTGCTGGAACATTGTTACACAGTTATGGATACAGTATGTGTACTGACTCTGCCACTTGCATAACAACGCACTGACATGTTCATCCAGTAACACTGAATTTCCTGGAAACCTCCACTTTGGGCCTTCTTGTGTAATGAGCTAATCTGTGTCATCTTCTGCTCTCAGTTATTGTAATTATATGAGTAAGCCATATTGCAAAGAAAAGAACTCCCCCTCCACTTTCTCCACATTGTTTGTACTTCTCTCCTCTGGCAAGAGAAGAAGATCAGATTACTGTTTTTTAAAGGGGAAAAATTTACCCGAAATCAAAATGTGTTTGTGTTAATTCTGTGATCTGCGGCCAGGTTGAGATTTCTGAAAGCAAACACACTTTTCCTGGAGCAAGAAATCAAAAACGAAGTTATAACTTGAGATGTCATTCACAAGATATTAAACTGCCCAATATACCTTTTTTACAGCAGCCATTTTGGCATGAAACAGTAGGGTAAAAACAGGTGATATCAATGATACTAATGAAGCTTCCGTTCCATTCAGGTTAAACAGAGTCAGGGTATTGCTATTGTGCATGTTGGCTCATTGGAAAGGCTCTGCTACACT